AAACGTAATAAAGAGACAAATTTAAGGTTTCAAGAAGGCAAAGACCTAAAAGAACGTTGATTTTTACCAATCATGAGTTTGTGCAAATTTTAAATGTGATGATGGCGCTGTTGTCTCGCCGAAACGTAATAAAGAGACAAATTTAAGGTTTCAAGAAGGCAAAGACCTACAAGAACCTTGATTTTTACCAATCATGAGTTTGTCCAAATTTTAAATCTGATGATGGCGCTGTTGTCTCGCCGAAACGTAATAAAGAGACAAATTTAAGGTTTCAAGAAGGCAAAGACCTAAACAAACGTTGATTTTTACCAATCATGAGTTTGTGTAAATTTTAAATCTGATGGTGGCGCTGTTATCTGGCCGAAACGTAATGAAATAAACGATGTTCAACATTTTTACTTCACACTTTGACTCAGTCCCAGAAAAGATAAGAATATCATAATAAATCTTACCGATATTTCAAAAGTGTTTGCCCCAGCTGGACATCCATGATGTTGCACCCGCACTTTTCGGAAGTTCCACCAACATTAAAGTGCAAGCAGGATTTCGAGCTTAAATAAGGGCGCTAAACAGGCAAAGCTTTCAACAGAAATGTGCTGCATGCAATGCCAATTAAAAACATTCGTTAACGTGCATTTATGCCTGCCGCGCTTTGTGCCAAAGCCAAAACAGTCACAAAAACTATGCACATTTGCGAAGCGTCTCGTTTATCATGAGTTTCAACGTCTGGTCATACACAGGGCGATTCCATCGGGGGATTAAAATTTTGCTAAGTAAAAGTTGCTTGAAAAACGCAAAAGCTTTGCTTGCTACGACGGGATGTTGAAATTAGAATGTTTCAAAATTTGCACAGGGACGCCCAAACATTTGGCGCTTATTGCCTGCAAAGTAGAGGTGTGAAAAACGGTTATTTTTCTGTAACGGGTTACAACGTTCCAGTTTCACCTTGGTAATAGGTTCCAAATGCGGTTCCAGAAGGAACATGTTTTTTTCATTTTTTTAATAAAAATGCAGAATGATGATGATAGTAGAAATTATGATGATATTTAATGATTTCCTTTATTAAAAACAAAATTCTTAACACTGGTAAACTTAAAATAAAATATTCTAAAATAAAAAAAAAACATGGGTCAGAAGTAACTACTTAAAGAACAAAACCACCGATAATAAACTAGAGTGAGAATAAAATATCCGGTTTATATGCGAAAATGTTTAAAAATCTAATTTTCATATAAAAATGCATTAACATTTCGGAACAATTTTTTTTGCAGACGCTTTTTACTGGCTATGCAGCGCTGCAGAGCTGGATAGATCGCTCGACGGTGCCCGAAGTGCGCACCGCTGTTTCGGTTTTATGAGACGGTTCGACAACATTGGGACATCTTCGTCTGTGTCGTACTTCGTCTGTGTCCTACTTCGTCTGTGTCGTACTTCGTCTGTGTCGTCTTTATACTTTTCTAACTATTCGTTAAGTGGAATTTCATAGTCTGGTTCATAATAATTTTCTTTTCTTACAAATCCCCCATGCTTAAAGCAATTTGCAATGGTTTTTCGGCTAACTTTTTGCCAAGCTCTATGAATGAAATTGACTGCATCTAAGAGATTTATAGAAAATGTTTCATTTTTATCGATCGCCTCTAACGTTTTCATAAGAAGCATTTTTCACCGGCAGACTCTCCAACAATTTTTCCGCTACTGATATTATGCATCTTCTTGAAACGCTCTTCCCAACTTTTAGAACAAGCAAACTCTTTGTTTTTAATTTTACTCCCCATTTCACTAGCATTTTCTTGCAAAACACTGCCACTTATGG